ACCTTGTACTTGTCAGTGTTGAAACCCATCCTGTTCTCATTCGCCCACTCCTGTAACCTGTCTACCTGTCATCTGAGGGTGTTAAATGTGTTCAACTGCCAATCCATGATATAAGAAAGCCTTAGTTTTTTCATTCAGTACATTAACAAACTGGCTTCAATCAAATGTAAAAGCCACCCCAAATCTTTGTTCAGTGTAATCAAACTGAACCGAACCTTGTTTGATGTATAAAATATTCAAATTAAAAACTAACAAAATATGAATTCAACTCCCACCACTATGAACTTCCTGGTTCTAGCTGGGAATCAGAATGGAAATGCCAAAATACCAAGAGAAAAGATGTCCTTTTTCACTCTTCCCAGATTGATTGAAAGAGGGAAGGGTGGTGGGGAGGGAGTCTTTTAGGAAGCTCGATGTCTTGAGACTAACAGCTCCAAGAGCTGCATGATAATTTGGGTGTGCATGTGGAGGCCTAGTCAGGCAGTACTGTATCATCAGGATGGGAACTGGATCTGTCTATTGAAGAGGTCTGAACCTCCTGGAGCTGCTAGTCTCATGAGATCAGGTTGTATTGTAGGTTGCCCATTCCAGTGGGCAGGGGCAGTGAAATTGTTCCCTGGCCAGCCCATCCCACCTGTCTCTTGAAGCCGTCACTTGGGAAAGAGCTTAGAGAGCCTGGTGCTTCTTCATACATAGTAGAGGGGAGGGAGAAAAAGGCAAATGGCAGAGTTTCCAAGCTCATCAAGACAAAACCGGGTCTCTGTTCTGTTTATGAACATAAACATTTTCATTTGCTTTGTTTACAAGTAAAGATGGGCGGAAACCAAGACCCCACATCTGGACTCTCCAAATTGTGAATGCAGACAGGAAGCCCTATAGACTCTCTGTAGCTTTGGTTCATCTCTATTTTCAAGCAGTCTAAGCCTCTTGGTAGCACAGAGCTAAAACCCAGAGATTCCTGGCTCTTCTAGCCCCAGATCTGATACTTATTTATCAAGTGCTCTCAAAGTTGGACACTTGCCTTCAGCAGGGTCAAAAACATGTACCCATCTCTCTATATTAAATAATGTCTGTTCAGTAGTTTAAATTTACCTGCCCAAAGCACCTATTACCTGAATATACCAGCAGAGACATGGTGCTTAGTATAATATTGTACAAGGGTTAAGGGTTATTATTCTGGAAGTGCAGAGGAAACAGCAAAACTGTTGAAGTATTAAACCTTTACTTTATTTATTGCCTACAGTAAGAGCTTCCTTCCAGATTACATATAAACTACAGCCTGCTCTGCTCACCTTCTGTCTGCTGATGCAGGGCTTTGGAGGAATTGCTGTGTAACTCACTGGAGTTATTGCATTACTTCCATGATCTCTTTCTGTTCTTCCCCTTGCTCAGTGATACAAACTGATATATCATCTAACTGCCATGCATGCCTGACTGGATTTGGTTCAATCAGGCATGTTCCTTGCCATGGGAGATGTTGTGTTAAATGGGACGTGCTTTAAATGTTTGAAACCTAGTGAACAGATGAGGTAGACAACCCCCTTGTATAAGAGACTATCCCTCCTATCACATGTGAATCCGTATTTTACTTGCTTTTATACTGGTATCAGTCTGGATCTTTTGCAACTTTTGCTGTAGTAAGTTTCTATGGGGCAAAAATTTGTCTGGATTAAGCAGGTTAAGACCAGATCAAGGTTGTCAGCAAAATCCTGCCCCATAGAAGCACTTGGTGGGAAGAGGGCCGGCTGCAGGGGCAGATTTGTACTGGCCAGCACACCACAGCTGCAGTGGGTACCATTTGCTCATTTTACAGATGTTGATGCCAGCAGCAGGCTCTTGCCAGGGACTTGCTGCTTTTTTTCAGCCTGCACTATGAGCTACTCCAGATGACTGAGCCCACGGGCCCTGTGTTCTGGTAGGCTGTTGTCACTGATGTGTAACGACTACTGTCAGCCACCCTAACCAAGCAAGGCTGTATTTCCCCCGTGGGCCAAACTGATGGTATAAGCATCTGCACTATGTCCTCATTTTCCATTTGAATGTTCGCAGGGGCACCTGGACAGATTGGGCCTCCAGGTCCAATTGGACCAGCTGGACTTCCAGGACCACCAGGACCAAAGGGAGAAAGGGGACTGCCTGGTGAGAAGGGGCCCGCAGGACCACCAGGTGAGTCTTGGAGGGGAATGCTCCCTGCCTTGCTAGGGAGCTCTTGAGACTGTAGCTAAATTGTTAGTGTGATGTCCACACACAGAGCTGAATCGAAGGCCGTCTTTGGCTCCTACTGGTGAATCAGCCGAAGGCTCTCAGCTCCTAGCAGGATTGGGCCCAAGTTGGGAAATTTTAACGTTGACATTCCCAGGCCACTTCCGTGGAGATGAAATCAATTACTGGAGGAAGCCAGCAGCATCACATCCCATACTGCCTCCCCAGTTAGCAAAGATGAGCTTTTCTTGTTTAACCCTTTAATCACTATATCCTGTTATCACGTCTCTGCAGGGAATGTGTATAGTGTAAGGGGAAGAACTTCGCTTCTTGTGTTGGGTGTGTCAAACTTAGGGGGCAAGCAAACACCAAACAATGATGCTGTCACACCTGAAAGCAAAGGATTAAAAGTAGGACCTTTTTCTCACTGTACAATCACTTCCTGAGCTCAGAGACTTCCCTTCCCCCCAGAATGTTACTAAATCTTGTGAAAGAGATGATGCTACACAATAGCTGCCAGACAGCAGTCTCTGTGCTTCATAAATCTCCAGTCGAGGGAAGCATTTGAAACCTGGAGCATGCCTTAAACATGAGAGTGGCCTTGGAGACTTCCCGACATTTTCCGCAGTCCAGAGAATGGCTGAGGTCCAGTCTGGGATGTGTTCGCCTTCTCAAGTTCTCGGAGACTGAAACAGGAGAAGCCTCTAGCCCCAAAGAAAGTAGTATGGATCTGCCCGTCAGATGATCAGGTTTTCTGTCTCTGCTTGAGGGGGTTGCTCACAGGAAGGCAAAGGCTTTGCCTTTTTCCAGTGTCTTCTATTTGAGGATTTTTTTACATGCTTTACAGACACAAGGGTATTGCTCCCCTCTGCAGAGGAGCAACCTGAGGACTCTGCTTAACTCACACTGGCCCTTTGCACAGGGCTGAATTTTACCCTTGGTGAATTAAACCTTATTATAGCTGTGAGCCAGGGAAACCTCATCAGCCCTGTTTTGCATGTGGGGGAATGGAGGCAATGAGGTTTGGCTCTCTTCCCTCAAGCGTCCCCCTTTAGTTCATCAGAAGAATACTCCTTGCCAAAACTGTGTAGGAAGGGGCCTTGCTGCAAAACCGTTTCAACTCCCTTCTATGCTACATGAGCACAAGGGAGTTATGTGGCCTTGTGTAAATGTGCTTTGTTCTTCGTGCTCCTGATACCGAGGCATCAGAGATTTCCCTACTGAAGAAAGGTATCTCTCCTAGCTACTTCTTTCAGTTTGACTAGTAGGCATTAATATGAGTTAAGACTGAAAACAGGACTCTGAAATGAAGATGCCTGGGAAAGCTCGTGAGCTCTCATACAGCTCCTGTGCCTGGTCTGGGAATCTCTTAGGTTTAGATCCAGATTCATTTCTTTGCAGCTGCTTGGCAGACGTTGTATGGATTCTGCACCAGTGCAGGTGCTAGCACATCCCTCACGGCACTGAAAGCTCCTCTGCTGTTTCTTTTTAGGGCTCCTGGGGCCTCAAGGACCTAGAGGACTTCCAGGAGAAGTAGGGATTCCAGGGCCACCAGGACCACCAGGGCCACCTGCCACCCCAGGCCTTCCCCTCACCTTCCAGCAAGGGGTTCTCTACTCATTGCAGCCCACAGCTGAAAAAGAAAGTAAGTTTCTACTGGTGAGTCCTTCCACGTGCATCTGTAGGTAGCCTGTGCAGAGAACTCACCTGCTTTTTCTCTCCCTCCCCACCAACCTACTACTGTGTTCCTGCTTTCCCTGAGACATGACAAATGCATATGCTTCTTTAATGCCAGTTCACTCCTAGGTGTCTGCTGAAACAAGTTTGGGGGATGAAAGGAATTCAAATTGGCTCATTAGCTCTAATGATGAACCTGACCTCTTTGCTCAGGTTGTTTCTTGTGTCTAGACTAAGCCCTGTAGCTTGTGAAACTGCTTTAACAGATGAGATTTTTCTGGGATCCTGCTAATTTTAAAGAGTTGCCTATGCCTCATGAAAGCCTCTTTGCTGCATGTTGCAAAAAAGATGCTGGATTAACTTACAAGGCTTACATAATGTTACGTGTAGGGTCCGTATCATAAATACACAGCTTATGTGATGTGAGGTCAGGGGATAATGCTGTTGCACTGTCATAGGCCATATGACACCTGTCACAATACCATGGTGCTCGTGTGTGGCCCACCAGTCTACCTCTCAGAGATGGCAGCCCTTTGAGGTCCTGTTCAGAGTGGGGTGGAGTTACAAAATGGACCTCAGCAGTTTGCTATAATAAACCTCTGGAAATAGTGGTGGTGTTCTTCTGCACCTTTCCGAATCTTACAGTACCCCTGCCTGCTCTTTAAAGAATCCAACCCATTGCTCCTTGCCTTTTTTTTCCATTCTATTTATTTATCTTCTGGGTGGCTCTCCATGCTGATCTTACTCTGTCCCCACTGGACCGGGATTGCCTTCTTCATCCAGAGAATTGAGACAAGAATTTTATGATGTCAATATCAAGTTGTTGGACTCTTCTCCTTCTGAATTAGAGGAGGAAAAACATTTATTGTGTGAATAATAATACTTTGGGAAACTTTTGCTCTAAAAAAGCCCTTGAATTGCAGTGCAATACCACAGAGGTAACAGAGCAGGTATCAAGCCACAGTTGACAGGTCAGAATTTGATAGAAATAGATTTAAAACAGAAGTTTTCAATACACATGAAGTTTTTAATCACTCTCTCTACCTGGCAGGCAAAGTCTTTGGGTAGAGGTAATATCTTTTATTAAGCCAACTAAATAGTTGCAAAAAAAGTTATTTGCAAGCTTTCAGATATATATGCCCTTAGGCAAAAAAAAAAAAAGAAATTAAAAATGGTGCGAGATACAAAAGATGGTTAGAAATCTCTGCCTGCACACTTCTCTGTTAGCTTCCATGTATCTGTTACAGAGCAAAGTCTTTTCATGGCATTCATATGCTACACAGTTATAAGGAGCCCAAAAGCCCTGAAAAAGAGAGGCTTTTGTTCAAGTGATTGTGCATTTCTCTAGAGCCTTTCGTTCCAATGGGTCCCATAGCACTAGGGAAACTGCACAGACATAGAACCACCAAAATATGAAGCTGCTCTTGGAGGCAGTGATAAGCCAGCACACCAAAGTAGGGAGAGTGAATAAGTGTTGACCATTAACATGGGAGCAAACCTGTATTTCTCTGAAAAGGGCTAGGTCCTTTTAGTGTCCACAGAAAACAGGACACACATCATGGAACAATTTATCTATTTAGAAGAATGAGTGAGTTGATCTAATCTTTTCCAGGAGTCTAGAAGTTAAGATTTTAGCTGACTGAAAGTCTTGTCACTGCCTTTTTTTTTTGGTGTTGGGTTTGGCTCTGATATTTGGATCGATAAGCAACAAGAATTATAGCAGGGTAATTTAAGAAACAGAAAACTGTAAAATCCCTTTTTTCCAACTTCTTCTGAGGACTCTGATCATAATGATCAATGCATTACTTTAGAACAATATGTGATTATAGTTGTGATAGCTAGGGTGACTATCATAGAGGACAGTCCGGTTGTCCTCTGTCCTCTATTGATATGAAACCTGATGCCTTTATGTCCTCTGTCTTTCTCTTGAAAGGCATTGAGTTTCGTATCAATAGAGGACAGAGTAGCAGAAAACCAGAATGTCCTCTATGATGGCCACCCTAGTGATAGCAGACCTTAAACAAAACAAATAGCATGGAATACTTCATCTGGTGCAGACACAGGGTGTTTTGTAGACAATTTATTGCCATATCCTAACTTTTTTGTTGTAGATCCCTAGAGTTCTTTTTTCCCCTTCCACCACTCCTTGAGTCTTAGAATCCTACTTGATTCACCTCTACGTTGGTTTTAATGGATGTGATGGTTACTTCAGGCTGTCTCCAGTTTTGCAGCCACCTGAAAAGGTTCAGATGGGAAGTTTGGTGAAACAAGCGAGTCTTGAGCCATTTTGCTGATTCCTATCACATTAATATTCAGACTATATATTGGCTTGCTTTCTACAAATAGTATGCCATGGTGAAATTCGTGACAGTGCATTTGCCTTGCAAGGTTTTTGCCCACTGCGAAATCCTGGCTCTGCTGAAGTCGAGAGAAAACCAACGAATCTAGGTGAAATGCTAAAAAAGCACAGATAGGGAAGCTAAGCATCTTGGCTTTCTGAGGTATATTTGATCCAGATCCTCTTAGTCTTATTTAATCTACACTAGATTTTTATAGCGTGCCCATCTCCATAGCATCTAAACACTAAGCAGTAATTCATCTCCAGCCTTTAGTTCTTTTTGTGATTAATACAAGACTCCCCATGATGAGTCTTACTGCAAGATTAAGATCATCTTCCTAAATAATTTACCCTTTTATTACTGCACTGGCTGGCTTTGGTTACCCTGGGTTGGTGGAAAGCTGATCCTCCACAGCCAATAAAACCTGGCTCTGTAAACCCCAGCTAGGATTTTTTTTTTAATGGAACACATCTGAAAACCATAAATGTAAGATCTCAGCTGCTGACAGCAGAGGGAAGCATATTCCTACTAATGGGCCTGTGCACCCACATAGATGTGAAAAGGCTGCATCAGATTATTATTATTATTAGCCAGTGTTCAGTTCCACTTGATCATGGTTAATGTCAGCATTTTATTAATCACAACAAGTTCCTGTTGGCAGAGATTATCAGCAGGCAGAAGCCAAAAATGGGGAGACAAATATTTTCTCACAGTTTCACTGTGCTGTGGTAAAGAAATTGGTCCCAGTTGTCTCTCTCCAGATCAGGTAGCAGAAAGAAATTAAGACAGGATTACTTCATTTCCATCCTGTCTCAGCAAATCAAGCCTTTAATACAGAGAATTTATCCTAAACTCAGTACCATTATTGCTGGGTCAGTTTCTCAGTAATACCTGGTCCCATCATAATGTCTTCAGTTTTACCACCCACTTGCCTCTCAGGCACTTACAAATGAGTGGGGCAGGTATTTGGTTCAGCACCCTAAGGATCTGAAGAGCTATGGAATAAAAGATCCTTTTTTAGAAAAAGGAAGGGGAAAATAGCAATAACTTGCTTTTACCACAGGGATTTACTGTCTAAGATTGCAAAGTAGTGTATAAAAGATGCAAAGAAGCATCATCTCCACTTTTTACAGATGGGGAAACTGAGGTGCAGTAAAAGGGAGTGATTTGCCCTGTCAGGTCCGAGATGGGAAAAAAACCAAAGCTCCTGAGTCCCAGCCTAGTGCCTGAGCCATTGGCCTGTTTTGTCTTTCCAAAATGAATGAAGAGAGAATTGGGAAGGCTCAAAGAGAAGGCCCGGTAGGGCAGGACTGGGAAATAGAGGAATGCTTTCCTTTAGAAAACCGTATTGATTTGCTTTGAGAACTGTGTCCATCTGTGCATCAAATATGTGCCTACAACACAGCATGCCTCTCAGGGGAGGTTTCAGCTTAGTTTAAGATTTTTTCCTTGGATCATGTGCAAATTCCTGCCTGGCTCTGCTTACATTAGCCAGGCTACCTTGTTACAGCACTCTTCTGCTGGCCAGGAGTTTGGACAGCCCTGGAGCTGAGTCTTTTACATGCGAAAGGTGCTCACTTACATGCAAAGGAAGCTGTTAGCTTGCTATTTTCACGGATGCTCAGGCACATGCATGCAAAATGGAGCCTTTACTCCAAGCAAGGGACGGTGATATTGTGCAGGAGGTTTAGTCAGGGTCAGGTGGAAGACAATGAGCTCTCCAACCCTTTGCTGCTGGACAATGAATGTTTCTGAGTGACCCTCTACTGCAGCTCTGAGCTGCGAATAAGTCCCTGGGTCTCGTCTGATCCCAGATTGTTTGTGTGTGTGTATGGGGAAAGCAGAGATTCCAGATTTGCTTGTGCCTGATGGATTTGCACTAGGTGGGCTGCAACTGGGGTCCTTGCTGACCATAGAGTGGGGAGGGAGCATTTGGTGCATAGCAGGAAGCATTGTGCTCATTGTCTTCAGGCAGCCATTACTTTGGTGAGTGTGACATGGCTAGACAGCTGACAGAGGAGTAACACTATATGCCCATCTCTGTCTCTGCCGCCTCCCCCATATATTCACACACACACATGCTAACCACACAAAGTCCAAATCAAGAGCCAGTGAGCTCTAGGGCTCCCAAGCAGTTTATTTTTCACAGTGTCACAATTACAGAAGCACCATTCTTAAATAACTTTGAGTCAAATTGATCTCATGTCAAGATGAACGGATCTGTGGGAGTAACTTGTTTGGCGTAACAATAAGATTCTGTTTAGCTGGAACATGCTACAACCCAAAGCTCCCCCTTCCTCTCCCCCCCCCACTAATTAAATCCCATTAGTTTGCAGTCCCACTACCCCACTGGTATCTCCTAGGGGCACTCCCTCAGTTTTGTTGACTGCTTGTTCTTTTAAGAACGCAAACCCCCTGAAATTGTTAATGCCTTCAGTGCTATTCGATGTTCATTTTCTGATTCCATCTCACTACGAAGCCCTGATGGATTTTGACGTGGTCAAATAAAACTTGAATTAATTGGATTACACACTTCACTTGGATACCTTTCCCTGTGAACATGAAAGTGTTCTCAGCTGTTTTGTTTCATGACTGCAAAGGGAAGATGGCTACACTAAAAACTGATGGCCATGGACAGTTACCTGTTTGATCTGGCCCTCAGCGCTCAGCTTAGCCCCAAAAGAGGCCAGGGTTGAGTTATCCGGGGATGGAGGCTCCAGTAAAGAGAAGAACTACCATTAGTTAGCACGACAGAGTTGTAGGTATCTCCTGCTGTTCTAGAGACACTTTGGCTCTGGTGATCCTTCTGGTATCCCAACTCCATTCATTCCCAGTGGGTGCATCTACCCGTTCATTAATGTGTCATAGTTATGGCGCATTTAGTTTAGTACTTGCATAACCAAGTACTAAATCAATGCACAGTAACTGGAGTTTTGGTGCAGTAGCACCAGCGCTTAGCTTTTTAGTGATGCTAACTGTGCAGTACCCTCATGCTGCTGCGCAGTAGCATATTAGCATGGGTTTTGCCCTGCCACGTTACTTTGCAGTAGAATTAGGTTACTGCACAGTTAGCACCTCATGTACACACCCAGTGTCCATTGTTTCAGAAGAGGACAAAACATGATAGACCTATTACTGGATCATAGGCATGAAGAGGTGGGAATTGCTAGCGCCACATAAGTGTTGGTAACTAGGAAGGACCTGACTTTTTAGAGGGCCTTCTGTGAAGCTGAGCCCTTGGGTCAGGGAGCCTGCAGAATGGGCCATGTTATTTTTAGCTGATAAAATTTATTTAAAAATATTTCAGAAAGTGAAACATATATTTCTTCTAGCAATAATTACCTCAATCCTCTCCATGCTACAAGGAACTTACCGTCTTGTATGGTTTTGTGTTAACTGTTTGATTTTGTTGTGTTGTTCTCTTCAAGTTCTGAAGACATCTCTTCTCTGCTTACTCTTTCCTTTCTTTCCATTCTTATGAAGACAAATGGAAGGTCAGGAACCCTGAAAAAGAAAACTGCTGAGGACACTGAAGGCAGACAGCCAAGTTAGGCCTGCAGAATTGGTCAGAATCAAGTGGTTGGAGCAGTAGACTGTGAATCCTGACCAGAGTTGTGATACCTGGGTTTCCTTTGTTGCTGTGTGACCATGGGCAAATCACTTCACCTTTGCGCCTTGGCTTCCCCAACTATAAAATAGTGTTTGGGGATTCTCAAACGGAAGGTGATACCATAATGACCACAAAGCACTAGTATAATACCATATGGGCCCATAGGCAGCGTGTTGGATTGATGAGCCAGGCCCAGAGATAAGATGGCAGCATGATGTGCTGGCTGTGGCGTTGGTGGATGTACTTGGACATCTGTGATAGCTCAGTAGTGAATTGGTCAGTCAGAGGAGCTCAGAGTTCACATATGACTTCTTGGACTTAGAGATGACAACTTTGAACAAAGCTATTGCTGAACCATAGAGTTCACTTCTCTTTACTACCTTGTTCCCTGCACAAAGTACTATCCAGACAGCTTTGAAGGTTGTGTGCGTCTTTAAACAAAAATGCTGATTGGACAGATAGAGAAATTGTCTGGGGCTATTACAGGGCATCTATACATATGATGGAGCTGTGCTAATTAGCACACATCGAAGCAGACACGATTAATTGAGTCTACTGCAAGCCTGCTGGAGCATGCTAATTAGTGCACTCCAGCAGTCTCCACATCATGTGTATTCAGCATCCCTGCATTTCAAAATGGTGATGGGGGTGCTTTAACTAAAGCTCATTCAACGAGCTTTAGTTAAAACACCCCCACCACCATTTTGAAGTGTGGGACGCTGAACACATGTGATGTTGTGGGCACTTTAATTAGGGCAGCTCTCAGAACCTCTCTAATTAGACTCACCCCTCTCGACCCCAGCGCACATTTATAGGTGCCCCTCGTGTGGGAATAGGCTGATGAGCTAGAAGTATGTTTGAGAACTTTCCTGCACATGCTTAATCCAAAGCTAGTGCAAATCTGTACTGGCCTAATGCACAGAGCCTTGTGAATGCATAATAGCAAGCTCATTCCTTTGGCATCAGCAGCAGGAAATGACAACTCTTTTTGTTTTGTTTTGGTTGCATCTTTTGCAATCAGCTTCTAGATGAGTTCCCCTTCAAATGGCCAGGGAAATTGTTCTAATGGCTAGAATTCCACATAATTAAACATCATCTGTCCTTGGCCAACAGCAGGCTTGAGGTTTCAAACAGCCCAGTGTGAAATCCTGCCTGATTGGACATTGCAGTTGCTAATTTTTTGAGTCACTAATTACTCTGCTTTTTACTACAGATGGAGAACCCCAGCTGGCTTCCACCATCATAGACACTATTATGGCTGGCTTGCCAGGGCCACGCGGAGCTCCAGGTCCTGTGGGGCCACCAGGTAATAGAAATGATCAGACTGGTGGTGCATGGGAAGGATTCACTAGAGTAGGTTAAGCTATGTTAGGGTAGGTCACCAGGGTAGGTTAAGCGATGTTACAGGGAGCTGCACAGCTGTGGGTTAAGGTGGAAAGGAGGAAGGCAGCTTGCATCTCCATTTAGCTTCTCAGAACTAATGTTGGCATTGACAATGAAGAGGCAGTTCTGGAGTCATGTTATCCCAGTGCTTGAGTAAGGAAAGAAGCCATCTGACTGCACAGAGTAAGATGGAACAAACTAGGAAAGCTGAACAGACCCATCAGAACTGGAGCAAGGGGAATCCATGTATGTCTTAAACTGAACCTCAAGGCAAAGTTCTGGTCTTGGCTGCTTTAGAGACTATTGAGGTTGAGTTACACCGCTCAGAATCTGGGTCTGTGCTCCAATTACATGGATTCAAACCTGGAGTAGTTTACAGAGGAGTAACTGGGCAGTTCCACACCCTGATGGCAGTGGTGCAGTGGCCAGGAGACCAGCGACAGCAGTTGCTGTCTTTGCAAGCCCCTCAGCACCTTGGGCTGATGCCCTGGTTGCCACCCTTCCTCCCCCCAGTTATTTACCCCTTCTTGCTGAAGCTAGTGAAGCTACTCCAGGTTTGTACCAGTGTTCCTGAGATTGGAATTTGGGCCTAACATTTGGTGGCAAAGAAGTGATTTGTTTAATTCCTCTTTTAATGTGATTTTTCTTTTAAATGGCTTAAGTGATAAATATTCTTGCAAGCACCAGGGCTTCACTGCATGATGCCTCTTCATGAGTGATTCCCTGCTAATAACACAAGAGGCTTTTTCTCTTACTTTGAGGGTTTTCATTTATCCTTCAATTAATTTATTCTTAGATTTAAACATTTGAGTAGTGCATTCAGCTGTGCTTAATGTGTGCATAATACTCACATTGTTTCATCTCAAGGGTTAGGACAGTGAAAGCAGAAGGAGAAGGGTCAGTAAATTCAGAATAAGCAAATATACCATCTCTTGAAGAACTGCAGGTATAACTTAATAGAAATCCTATAGATAGAATTGCTTATCTTTTTTTTTCCAAGAGGAGCAAGGCTGTTGAATGAACAGAACAAATTCATCTGATTTTAAAAAATACATAATTTTTGCTGGGTTCAAACCCATTTTCGACCACAGTGGAGCCCTTGGGGGAAAAAAACCCAAACTTTCTGATAAGCCAGTAAATACAGTAAGCCTACATCCCTATACATCTCAAGGAGAGGCAAGGGAATTGGTCAAAAACTAAAGTCAGTAACTCCATTCCAGCTAAAAAAAACACCTTCCTGCCTTCACCTAGAGACTGTGTGAGATTATAGGTGGGGAACCCTAGAAGACCCATCTAGTCTCTTATCTCTTTATTGGATTCATTCTCTTTTAGAAATACCGGGCAAAGTACCCACTCTGGAATAGCTGCTGTATCAATTTTGATCTAAAGTTTCTATTAGGGCCATGGGAAAAATGTAATTTCAGGGAATGCAGCACAATGCTGTACTTCATTCTTCCTAGGTTTAAAGATTTGTATAGCGGTAAAGCACTTCCAAAACATAGGGATGTTTGGCCCATTCCTGATGACCAGGTTTCTCCAATAAGATGTATGCAAAGAGAGACAGAGGACGCATCTACACATGCCCCTATAGCGCTGTTGTTATTGTGCTGTCATTTAGTACTTCTTTTAAAGAAGTACTAAATAATAGCACAGTAACTGCTGTTACTGCACAGTGCTGGCAGTGCATGGTTATATTTAGCTGTTATGTCGCTGTAGCAATGCAGTATACCAAGGGAGTGCGTTGCTACAGCGACGTAGCTGCAGTGTCACGGTTTGTACCCATTGCTGCTACGTCGCCATAGCATATTGCTGCAGCGACATAGTAGATGCACCCAGTCGTGCTAATCAGGAGCAGTGAAAGAAAATGCATCTGATTCCAGCAGGTCTGTAAAATGTGTTTCAAATGATGATTCTTACCAGGACCCCCAGGAGCATCGGGACCCAAAGGGCTGCCAGGACCTATTGGAGTGCCAGGGGCACAAGTAAGCTATTTTATGTTAAATGTTTTGGGTGTAAGGGTGGAGAGAGGAACATAGAAGCCATTTTTCCCTGTAGAAGATTCAATGTTTAGGTATTAGAATAGAGTGAGAATCTAAATTTCCCCTCCATAGGAAAAGCTGACAATTTAACATTTGCTTTCCATCCAAAAACAAGACTAAAATTTATCCCAAATAGATAGGTAAGGGATTGGCAATGTTTTTAGGCAGAATGCCAAAAACATCCCAACCTCAACTTAAAATGCTGGTGTGCCAGGGGCACATGGTGGAGGAGCTGTGTGGGGCCTGATCTTTGTTGTGGCAGCGCAGCTGTGGCCCTTTCCCTGCTATCCACCCAGAGGTGCGTGCCCGGCAATGAGCAAGGCAGGTGCACCACCAGTAGTGAGCCAGGCCAGAGCTCCACAGACCTCGGTGCAGTGGCTTGCAGCCTCCCAGGCACCTGCTGCAGCTGCCCCAGCTCTGGGCAGGTCACTGACACCCACCATGGAGCCTGGGCTGCTTGCGGGGAGTCTGCAGGCAGCTACAGTGAGGTCTGCAGAGCCCTGGCCCAGCTCGTTGCTGGTGGCAGGTGCATGCACACCTCTGGGTGGATGGCAGGGGAGCTGCAAGGGGCCTGATCCTTGTTGCGGGAGCACAGCCCCAGCCCCTTCCTCCCATCCACCCTGAACCACATGTGCCAAGCAAAATGCCTTTGCCACACTGCACGTGTTGGGAGTTGCCTACTCCTGAGCTAGATGTTTCACAGAACGAGAAATGCTGAACATCTGTGACTTAGAAATGGCAAAGTACTTTGTTTTGACATTTTAATCAGAGCAAAATATTCTGGTACTCTCTGCCCCAGAACATTTCAGTTTACTTTGCTGAATCACCACAAACTTGTTATTGTTTTACATCAGTTCAATATTAAGTTGTATTGCTCCATGGTGATGCTGTGTGCCCCACCGGAATTTGAGTACCTGATGTCCCCATTCTGTCTAGCCTCGTTGGCCACACTAAACCTGTATAGTCCAGCTGATCATCCTAGCCATTAGAGAGGATGGGACCACTAAGAATGAAGCATACCATGCGGTGATAAGCCTAAGAAACCAAAATATTCTCGTGCATTCTGCTGACATGCACACTTCTTTTTTCTGTTACCCAAATATAAAAATGTTGATATAAAAAATTAACCACTTTTTTTCAACAAAGTTACTTTGATGGAAAATTCCCAGCAATCTCTCTTATGTTTGAGTATTAACATTTCAGATACTCATGTGTTTGCCTTGATATCTCACATTGTGAAAAATTTGCTCATAAAATGGTTGTATGGAAGATAACTGGAGGCAAAGTCTGTGCAGGGATTGAAAATGGATGAAATCAGAGGTGAGCAAAATACGGCCCGTGAAATGATTTTATCTGGCCTGTGGCTGTTCCTCTGAAGGAGAATTACATCCAGCCCACAATTGCCCTGGCTTTCAGTGCCTCTTGCCCTTCTCCTTTCCCCATGCCAACCAACTGCAGCAGCCACTCCCCTCCCCTCCCTGGCCGGCCCACCCTATTCTTCCCCTAACCCCCAGTGTAAGGTCCAAAGCAGGGGGGTATTGAGCTCCTGGCCAGGTAGGGCTGGTGAGGCTGTCTGCGTGATGCTTCGACCCTGCGTTTGGCGTCCCAGGTAAGATTCTCCCCACTGGCGGGGGAAGGGGGGTGCAGGGCAAAGAGGGCCAGGAGCCACAGGTTATCCCAGCTCTGCTGGGCTGGGGCATGGTAGGGCCAGGCTTCTTTCTAAGTGGAAACAAGTTAAGGACCTTGTTACATGTTGCACTTAGAGCAGCTCAAATGTTGATCAGTATTAGTATTAGCTTGAGTTTGGATCAGCTAAAAGTTCATACCACCAGGGGCCTTGAGGACTGAAATGTAAGAATCCCCACCCCCCCATCCTGGGCTTCCCCTCTACCCCCCTGCCCCCACTCTTGGGGCTCCCCACTTCTGCCCCCCTGGCTAACTTTCAACTGCTGGCACTGTCCTAGGGGTGCTAGCAGGGAAGGGGAACCCACTGCCCAGCTCCCACCACCACTGCCAGGGTGCTGCCCTTCCCCAGGCTGAGTCCAGTCCAGACAGCAGCGGTGGCAACAGCAGTGGAGGGGCTGGGCAAGGGAGTTCCCATTGCCTGCCTACTCCCCCAGGACAGCTGGAGGGGCAGGCAGAAGGCAGCTTGCTGATCAGGGCTGGTGCGGAGACAGGAGTGGGGAATGGTGACCCAATTTGGGGGGAGGGTAGGTGGGGTGTTCACAAAAAATGTAGCCTAGAGTATTAGTAAGTATTGGGTCACCATTCCCTTAGTGTAAGGACCTTGTTACATATTAATTTGAGGCAGCTCCTGGAGCTCTTAACCCCTGGATTGTCTGCAGTATCCCCTCCCCAGCCCCCCTGTTCTGTGTGGACACACTTTCCACCCCCTGAACTTTACTGTTGGGAGGGGCAACGGGCAGGGGTTGGCACCAAGCCAACTCCCCCTCCCACCCCTGGGGGGTGACCTTCCCACCCCTAGGGTAGCAATCCCATGCAAACAGCCTGCAGAGCACATGCCAGCTAGCCAGGCTGCAGGGAGTAGGGGCTAGTGGAGGTTGGAGAACAAGGTAGGGAGCCAAATTAGGTCCCCATGAGCTGAGGCTTCTTTCCCACAGCAGGGGAAGTATCTCCCCCAGAAATGCCTTCCCTCCCACCTCCCAGTCACCCTAGGAAGTATGACTAGCATTGCCCACACCTCAATACCAAATCCCAGTATACTAAAACATGAGGCCTTCCTTAGTTTACTTTATTTCTTTTTAAATTCTTTATTTTTACTTCCTTTTATTTTATCCTTCAGTGGCTGACCTCCTTCATTTTACCACTCTTCCCTCACCCCTATTTCCTTTCTACCTCCGATTTCATTACCCATGCCTATCACATTAACTCTCCTGCACCTGCTCCCCTTCTTGCCCTGCAACCCATCTCTTGCACACTGCTACCTAGAGCAGGGATAGCAACCTGTCTTGGCTCACCAGCCCTTTAGTGGAAACTCATAGCTGTAGCTCCTAGTCAGGCCCCTGCTTACTAACCCCCTAGTAGCAAATTACAACTGTACAGATGGGGGACAGTCAGAGAAGGTTTGACTGCTGTAAACTTGAGCTAACACTAACACCAATCACCATTTGAGCAGCTCAAGTACACTGTGTAACAAGACCCTAACATGAGCTGGGTAACATGGATCAGAGATAAACCTAAACTGGAGTAGTGTAACTTTGAGCTGCCTAAATGAGTGCTTAAAACCAGTTTAAGGTCTTAATGCCTGGACAATCCAGAGGTTAAGAGCTCCAGAAGGTACCTAAAATGAATGGGTAACAAGGCCCTTGGTCATGATGACTGGTTGGCTGCTCAAAGTAGTGGCTGATTAGTGCTAGGGAATCCAAAGATACGTGTATTTGGAGTGGCATTGCATAAAGGAAAGTTCAGCCTCTAATCCAAAATGTTTCAAGGATATAAAACATGAATAAAAGGATAGCAGCAAATTAGGAAAATTGAGGGAGATGCAGGGTAAATCATCTATAATGTGGGCCATAATCCAGACTGTGATAAAGAAGAGTTTAGAATTTCAAGGAATTGGGTAAATGGAATTTTGGGTATTTATTGATCACTTGGAAGAAGGTATGGAGAGCAAGCTGGTGAAATGTTGCCAGTGATGCAAAACTGTTTCAATTAGTGAATGCTGTGCAGGTCCATGAGGAACTCCAGATGGACATTAAACACCTTGGGAAATTTGGCTGCAAAATGACAGACATAATTTAACATGATTAACTGTGAGGTAATTTATAAGGGCATAACAAATAGAAGCTGTTATTTCCTGGCTTCTTACATTGCAGGATATGCTACACTAATCCACATTAAAAGCTAATTTGGATTAATTTTCATAAATGCCCCTATACAGACAAGCCTTGAGAGTCACTGCTGAGTGCCACCCAGCATGCTTTACTTTAGAGGGTGAGTGGCTTCAGCCCAGGCCAGGTGTGCACATCACAACAGTTATGAAGTAACTCACTAGTACACACCCGCGTTGCTATAGTACGCCTTCACAAGATAGAGCTGAGCTACACAAACAGGGCTATGTTCTTAGTTATCTTGTACTTTGTGCAGAAAAATAACTAGCCAAGGTCCTGGACTGATGAAATATTTATGCTGGTATTTAAATAAGTAGAAAAAAGGAGATGTAAACCCCTATGCTAGGTAATGTTATGCAGCGGAGAATTGCCCCCAAAAGGAGAGGGGTAAAACTCTGCTTGTATAAAGTTACACTGACTTAGACATCACCTGTGTGTCCTTCCCAATGTTGCTACTTGGTAACAGTGAACAGCTCCCATGCTGTGTAGTAGGGCTGTGTGAAGCTTCAGTCGCTGATTCAAGTTGGTGGAGATTTGGCCCGATTCAGTGGCCGAATCTCTGAATCCAAATTAAATCAGAGGACCTTTTAATTTCTCCGAATCAAATCAGAACCCTCCGAATCAATTCTGAGAGATTCGGAAAGATTCGGACATAGACACAGCTTTAATGTTTTTTCTACATACCTCAAGGTACCAGGAAGCTTATCAATGCTGCGATGCTGGAGTGGATGGAGTGCCTCACAGGAGCACAGGGAGGGGGCTCCCCAGTGCGCTTGGCAGCAGACCTGGAAGTGGACCGGAAGCACTTCTGGTCCCCTTCTGGGTCCTCTGGGGAGCGCACTGGGCTCCCCACCCCCGCACTCCCCTGGCTCGGCGAATGGTGCCTCCTGGGTCTGGGGGGGCACTTGGGGGCCCCCTGCAGCTGATCGTACAGTCCACTTCTGGGTTCATCGCTGAGCATACAGGGGGCCCTGCGCTCCTGTGGGATGCTCCATCCGCCTCAGCATTGCAGCATTCATGAGCCGCACCTGGTACCTCAAGGTATGTAGAAAAAACATTTAAAGCTGTGTCTATATCTGAATCGCTGATTCTCCGAATCAGCATCAAATCTTCAGATACGGATCCGGCCGAATTGAACTGGGGACAGTGATCCAAATCAAAGAATCGAATCACTGTCCCCGATTCGGGCCAAATCCAAATAAAAATCAAATAGGGCCCATTTCGCACACCCCTACTGTCTAGTAGCGACACCCAGCAATAGCCACATCTCTCAGTTCCTGATCCTGGTATAATTTACAGTGATGAAACATATACAAAGCATATGTAAGTAGCACTGGGGAATGCATTCATCTATTCAGAGTCCAAGGATCTTTAGGTTCCCCTGTTTGCAAGAATGTAAGGGTAGTTTACTGTATCACACTCATGGTTATAGAGAGCTGAGACGCACAGAGACACAGATAGTATAAACAGAAAATATTCTTCTCTTCCTATCTTGTTTGTAACAGTGGTTTCACGCAGTGGTTAATTTAAGATTTGAATCGATATCTGTAAAGGAGTTCAGTTAGTGTAAGTCTTGAAACAGTGACCCTCTTTCCACTGGTGACTGCTTTATAGATTTATTCAACCTGGGGAGCAAAATTATTAGTGAACATTGGGCTTAATTTGAAAATTGTTTATTTGGGTGAGTGAATCATCCAAATGGTTTCCTTTGCACAATCCAATTAACTCTGCGGCATGTGTGCTTACTCTGACCATCCCACTGAGATGCTTAGGCATAGGCTTTGCCAAGCTTTCACGGGGTGCTGCAGATATTAAACAAATGTGTTGTAGGATCCTTCGGAGGCCAAGATTTTCAGAAATTAATGGAAGTTTGGGATCCATAAACTAAGACCTCAAGGAAATTCAAATATTAGAGGTTGGGGGTGGTTAGCACTTTCTAAAAATCAGGCTGTATATTAGGAAGTCTCAAACTGAGTGGCCAAAAAAACCAAAGCACACAGTCAATCACAGGGTGAAATATCCACTTGGTACATATAGGAAGCCTCAAAATACAAGGGGAAACACAAAAAGTAACATAAATTTGTGGTGCCTATTGACAATCTGGTTCTTCCCTTTTCTTTGGACATTCAGCAAACTTGGAGCTAGAAGGGGAGGTAGCATCTCAGAAAGTTTTATGTGCAGCAGTGAGGCTTTGAACTGCATGAGCAAAAAATAGGGTTTGCAAGTTTTAAAATTAGCAATAAAGGGAACATACTGCATATTTCCTGGGCTAACTAAAGTCTCCATTTATCAATTTCAGGACCTGGTTGAGAACAAGGAGAGTCCAGTGATGCTGGCCCCTTGGTCCACTCACATTGCTCCCTAAACTGTCATGATGTTCCCATGTACAGGGCCTGCAGAGAGCCATCTGCAGGGTCCATGGATCTCTGCCGGGTATTAAGGAAAAATCTAAATAAAGGGCCTTTAACAGGTTCTTCCACTAACAGACGTGTCAGTTGGCTCCCATTGTGCATACCCACCAGGCATATCTACTTTCAACAGTGTCTGCATTTTTCATTTATAAACAAATTGGACTACACTTTTTTGTTGTTTTTAAGGCCTTATGGAGCATATGTGGGCCTGTACAAGAGATGGTGTCAAAGAGGAATGTTTAAACTATTATTGTGGAAATTCCCTATATTTCTGTACTCAGCGATCTTGTAGATGACCCCACCTTCCCCTTGGAAAGTTATTTTACCCTCATGCAAAATATAGTTCGGTTCAAGACTTACACTGTTCAAGCATAAGTGACTGCCCCAGCAGGGAATCTAGTCCACCACCGTTAACAATTATAAAGGTGGCTATCCAAGACTTTCAGTCATCATTCATCAGTGAAGTTGCCTATAAAATGAGTAATGGAAAATAATTTCTCCTTGTTCTGAATCTCTTCTCTATTTTATAGGGGGTGCCAGGCCCTCCTGGACAGCCTGGGCCCAAAGGTTCCAAAGGAGACAGAGGAGAGAGAGTAAGTTAAAATATTATCATATCATAAACTCTGTCATCACTATTCTCAACAAGTTCTGGACCAACTCAGGCAGTGCATATCTACTTCAGTGAAGCTACAGTCATCTTGGTTTAGGTGCATAAAAGTTCTGAATGCTCTATAAGAATTGTGACAAGAGGCAATGACACAAGGAGTGGGGTATGTTACTGACTCAGTTTGACTCACCCCAGAAAAATTCAGCATAGCTGAATTCACCAGCTGTTAGGAATAGATTTTTACATTCAAGAAAGAAAACCTCTAATAGCTCTTGGGCACCTGACTTTCCAGTGGAGTTTCCTTTGTTGTTAGATGGCAAATAGAAAAAAAAAAAACTTGTCCAAGGGCACATCTACACATGTGCTTTACTGCTCAGTTGACTAATTAACTCCTCAGTAAAGCGTCACAGTCTACATGTGCACCCATATTAGTAAATTAATTAATTCTGCTGTAGGATAGTAGTGTCTGAGGCAAGTACTGTCTCACAGTGGAGTAATGTGCACTCAAACACATGTGTAGACTGTGACCAGGGCTGGCTGGGGCACAGGGGTGCTATAGTGCAGGGGCTGCCTGCCACCTAGCTCTGCACTGCCTGCCACCTAGCTCTGCACCCTCGTGCCCCAGTCAGCCCCTCTGCTGCCTGACGCTGCCACCTGAAGCCTGGGACAGATCCACAGGCCCCCTGCCAGCCCGAGGCTGCTCTGCCCTGGCTTGAATTGATGCAGTCCCGGGAAGCAACTGACTCCAGTGCGAACTGCGCCAGAGTTTATGCAGGCACATCAGTAGATGTGTCCAGATAGATCCAGCTTTGTCCTGCACAGAAGCCATTGCTCAAGATCTGATAATGTTCTTAAAATATTTTTATTTAAAATAAACATGTACCTCTTGATGTTTTTGCCAAGAACTTGGAAATACAACAGGATGGGCTATTTTAGAGTTATTTCCAAGCTGGTAAAAACTAGAAAGTACAGAGAAAAAAATCCAACCCAATGCGAGAACATATTCTCATCCAGCCTATTGTCCTAACAGACCGTGGAGGTTCAGACTAGAATGTGAACTTCTGGATGCTTCTGCTAACCCAAACCTCCAAAAATCCTCAGGATTGTCTTGCACTAACGGTACCAACTGATGATCTATGGAACTCCTTATATGAGGAGACATGGGATGAAACCTTTGGAGAGCTGCACTTGGGCTGTCAAGTACAGGTGGCTCTTGCTGAGAAGATCTTGCCAATAATGTGATTTGTAATATGTAACTGGGACAGAATAATGCAAGATTTCACAGTAGGTTCTAGAAAGAAAGAACAGCTTCAAAAAGAGTTTTTGCTCAATCAAAATGGTGTACAGGGAGAATGGAAGCAGGTAGGCCACAGTCTTCCTCAGTGCTGTGAAAATGAAAACCTTTCTTTAAGAAGACTTTTTATCTGTATTATGGATTTAGGTTGATATGGAGCTCACCACCAATGAATGAGCAGATGAAGCTGACTTTCTCCCTCTGCACTCCCTATTAATGCATCTCTCTCCCATCCTACTATGTCAGGCTAGGCCCCTCTCTCGGTCTGCTATCTGGTACCATGTAAACCAGTACAGCTTGTTCCGTGGTTAGATTATTGGCAATCAAACCGGCTCCCTTACCTGGTCTATCCTGGGTGAGGAGGGTGTGTGGACACCCAGCAGGACCAAAAACAAGATCTGTCAAAGGGCAGATGAGCTCCTTGGGAGCCAGTGGCCATCCATACCTGGAGAGGAGATGGGTGCCACCAGGTCACTCTGCCAGAAGAATCAGCAATGATGCAAAGCAACTCAATTAATCTAGGAGGGTTATTACAGTATCTAAGTTGCCCCAATGGTCACAGCAGCCTCAGGACTGACTTGACTTGACTCCCATCTTTGCCTTCTGACCACTTTTTCAAGCTAAGAGACAGACTGATTGTCTAGGAGGCCTTTGAAAGATATTTTCCAAATGCAGTTTGATTAACTCTGGATGAACCTGGAGTCTGCACAGGAGTATAGGTAGGGACAGGATTAACCTGAATGTTCCCAGATTGTACACCAACTTGGTAGCCGCCCAGAAACTTGATCATATAAAGCTCTTTGCCATAGCCCAGGAAGACGCTGTTGTCTGAAATAACTTGATCATGGTAGAGAGACAGAGACGAGGGCTCTGTTTGAAGGATGTTGAAAGAGTCTGAAAGAGCATTCCTCCTCGAATATAGAGAGACCACTTGTATCCCTCTGCAAGAGAGAACCCATTTGTAATGGTGATCAGTTTTTATGTAATTAATTCCAGCTGCTCCAGGGCCAATCCAGTATTGACTTGTTTACTGTAACAGTGCACACTACTATCTAATTGTAACATTACAGAAGCCTGCGTCTGTCTGACCATTTGCAATGTTTTATTCGTGCTCTTGATTGGCTGACGGAAACAGCCAATCAGAGTGCTCCAAGCGTGGGGGAGCACCGCCATGATTCTGAAGCCGCGCCGAGGACCAGACGGGGTGGGGGCCCGGGTCCACCAGCATTGGCCTCGGGTCCCCCACCCCGCTCCCTGCAAGAGGCAGAAAAGTGGCAGCATGGGGCATTAGGTGGCGGCACTCCATCCCCTCCCCCCCCCGCCCTACCCCCATCATTCTTGATGGGCAATTGGCTACTATAACAGACACAAGTATGATAGAGACATGACAGAAACAGACTAAGTGCTTGCTAATACATTTCATCTCTAGTTACTGAATGAGTCTTATTTCTGTTGGATGTTTGTTTCAGTTGTCAGTGAAGGTCTTTTTAAATTTAAAAATAGAGTTCTCTGCTGTGACAAACTATTGAACTTTCCATCCAGGGGATTGATAAAAGCTCTTCTGTAACTGCTCTTGACAGTATTCTTGAAGGCTTAATTCTATGATTAACTGTGTGCTAAGAATATCACCCATTACAGTTAGACTAAAAATGTGATGGAAATTACACTTTTGTTGCAATTGAAAAGTTTTGTGGGATCATGACATTTTAGTAAAACTTTCAGCTGGAAAGAACCTAAATGCATTGTTTTGACTTTCTGGTTTTGTTTCAGTGAAATGAAACAAAAACATTTTGATATTGTTATGACATTTTACTTTTTTTTAAAATATTACATATAGTTTCAATGTGAGCAAAAGCCTTCTGGATCAAAATTTTTCAGATTTCCTATTTAATAGATGTTTTAATATTTCAGTTTTTCCATCAGAATGAAAACTAATTGAAATGTCAAAACTGCCCACACAACAACGTGTATCTTTTTGACTAGCTATGCTTCTGCATGAATGGGATAGTAAACATTTATAGAGTATACTGGCAGAAGAAAATAAGATTTTTATAGAAGATGGCAGGTACAACACCTTTGATCACCTGTAGTAGGCTCTAAATTTTGAATTTCTGGATATTAGGCATGCTTTTCATAGTGAGAAACAGAAAGAACATGTGCTTGGTTAAGGATATATTAAGTCCTTGGCTACTAAAGTCGGTGCTGCTTATGACATTAGCCACTAGGGGGAACTGCATGTTTCAGGTTTGGATTTGATGGATGTAAATTTAAGGTTAACATCATATAGACAAAGTTCATGGATTATGCAGTTAATGACAGCCACAGCAAAAGAAAAGTGAGAGAGATCCATGTTTTCTATGTAAGTGTAAAGAAAACCTTGATGTACAAACTGCCCCTTAGCTAGACGAATTGCTGTTTTCTTATGCTTGTCTACAGGCCTGATTCGCTCAGTGAAGGATCCAAGAAACTCCCATAGAAATCCATAGTCATTGTTTCTTCCATAGGGGATAATTGAGCCATAGTCAGATGTTACCTTTTCTTCAGAATCTAGTTTGACAGCAGAGGTCACTAAGTTCTGAATATAAATTTAACGCAGTATCTCTTCTTTTTTAAAGAAATATATTACCTTACCCCTTAATGTGGAACGAGTAGAGAAGCAATTTGGAATGGTCTTATCATGATCTTAAAGTTCTAGTGAAACCATTTTAATTGGTCTGGTAAAATTACATTTTATTCTTGTCAAAAGGAAAAGTATCTCATAATGACACTTACTTTATTTCCAACAGGGACAAGCAGGTCTGACTGGAGAGAGGGGCATTAAGGGATTTCCTGTAAGTGTTGTATGTGGGTATGTGCAAGAGAGGCAGACAGAAGGTTTGGGGGTGGAAAAAGGGGGCTTATATAGTACATCCAGCCTCTTAAATAGTGAATAGCTATTAGGCAAGAAGTTCTGCTGGGGCTCTGATACAACATCCAGGTCAGAAGTCTCCCTCTCAGAAAAGCCACACAAAAGCCTCACCTTTTTATTGTATTGTGTAAAAGAAAGGCTGCATTTCAGTGCTATACTACATATCCAAGTAGATGATAAGAAATGTCTGATAGAATATAAAAACTACCCTGGAAGTAGGGTTGATGATCTAATAAACCTTCTCAGTCTCTATGCTGGTTCTAGGAGAGGGTATAGCAGTCCAGCAGAGAGAGAGGCTGTACCAGCCATGGATTTTTTTCCCCTGAGAAACTAGTAGCAGAAGATAAGAACAAAATATAGTGTAAATGAAACACTGCGTTTCAGAAGATAGATCTGACATATCGCCTCCCTTTTGCTGTAAAGTCTGTTCTTGTTATTTGTATTGTGGTAGTCTCCAGGAAAGTCACTCAAGGAGCAGGACCCAGAGTACACAACACAAATATCGAGTTTGTAGTTCTACCTTCCTGGCTTCTGCTAACTTACACCCTGGTGTAGGGTACCAAGGGACACAGAGTCCACTGGATAAGAAGGGACTTGGCAAGGTACATAACATTTTCCTGGTTTCCCAGAAGAGGCCACAGATGGGGAGCACTGATTGGAGAGGGGATGAAGAGGCAGCAGAGAGCATTAGAGAGTGGTGATAGGGAGGGAGCAGCACCATGTCAGTACAGCTCAGGGAAAATGCCAATTCAGTACACCCCTACTGCTACCCTCTCCTAACAAGTCTATGTGGACAGAAATAGAGTTTCCTTCCTACACTAGAAGTCCTATTTGACCTCAACAATAAGTCTCTTATTAAAAAACATAAGAACTTCCATTTACTGGGTCATGTACAGGTCCATCTTTCTCTGTATCCTGTGTTACAGTGGCAGGGACTAATCATAGAAATCAAAGAGAAATAGGTCTAGAAAGGACCTCCAGAGGTCATCAACCCCCCTACCTGAGGCAGGTTCATGCCTATCCAAACCATCCTATACAATGCACAATTGTCCATACAGTCCTATACAGTCAGTACCAATCTAACAATGTGTAAAATTTCTTCCTTCCTAGATACCGAAAAGGAGAGTGAACAGGGTCTAACCGGCGTTTCTCCCCTGTTCCTCCCCCACATGCAGCCTCTAGCATTAGCTTTTATGTCTCTAGTAAAGTTTCTCCTCAGATTCTTTCTTAGCTTGTCTTAGTATGGTTTTACATTTGCTTTGCCAGAGTTTGTGCTTTTCTATTTTCCTCATTTGAATTTAACTTCCATCTTTGGAAAGACTTTTCTCTATTTATTGCCTCTGCAACTTTACCACTGAACCATGCTGGTTTTGGGCATTTTTTCAGTCTGCTTCCTTTTTTTTTATTTACAGTGTGCATTTGCTCTGTGCCTCCAATATGATGTTCTTAAGCAGTTCCCATACTGCTTGCGAATTCTTCACCTCCTTAGGGGCCCTTTTAAACTTCTGTCTAACTAGCTTCCTCATTTTGGTATAGTTTCCTTTTTAAAATTAAAAGTTACTGTGGTAGATTTTCTTCTTGTCAACTCTCCTACATGGAAGTCAAACCCAATTGCATTGTGGTCACTATTGCAGAATGGTCCAGTAGCAATTACCCTTTGCATCAAATCCTGTGCACTACTTAGGACTAGGTTAAGAATGGTCTTTCTTCTTGTAGGTTTCAGGACTAATTGCTCCAGAAAGCAGTCTTTTATAATGTCAAGAAGTTTGGAGAAGTAACCTTGATTCAAGAGGATACCATGATATCTGCTGGAGGATAGGTCCTATGTAAAGGATTGTTCCCCTGCTTCCTAGCTTGATGTCCTCCTACCCTAAGACTGTCACTCCTCCCAGCTGCCTGTGGGCTGCTACAGGGAGGTGGGATTACTCAATGTAAGCCTGCTTTATGACCCTCTCTGCCTTCCTCTGCTACTCCAATTCAGCCACCCTCTAAAAGCCAAGAGCTTCTTGCTAGGTGCACAGATAAGAAATCTTCCCCAAGGCACTTGGTGCAATAAACTGGGTGATCCCACCCTGCTGCTGGACTTCTGCCTGCATCCCTTTTATTTCATTGTGTTTGTTCTGGCCTTCCCTGTGGACTAGGAAACTTGAATAAATAGGCTGGCCTTCTGCTTACCTACGTCTTTCCTGATCAGTGCCTAAACAAATTAAAAATTTAAAAACTAAGCTCTAAAGCCAAAGAAGAAGACATGAGGATGATTACTAACAATAACAACAATAATAGCAGTAACCATAATAATATTTTTTAAATGAAGAGCAGCCAAATTAAGGGCAACCCCCCCCGACAATGTTGCTCTGAACTCCCACACAAATCCCCTGTTTGCTGGCTTTTATATTGGGTTGTTGGGGTTTCTGGCTGCCTTGGCTGTTCTGCTTGGGCAAGTCCCACCTCCTTGTTCACCTTTGATCAGCTGCTGGGCTCTGCAACCGAGAGCTCCTCCCTGCTCAGTGTAAATGTCTACCAAAACAGAGCCTGGTTCACCATGCACAAACCAGGCAGGCACTCACCCAGCCCAGCCAGGCATCCCACCACCAGACACAGACCCTCTGCTCAGGTTTTATCCAAGTCTCCCCCATGCAAACTCCCCTGTTTGCTGGCCTGTGCATGGTGAATACTGGCTTCCTTGGCCAGAGTTTTGGTGTGAATAAGCAACTGAAAAAAACCCTCAAGAGCTCCTCTGAACACTTCAATCCTCCATGGTCTGCAGTACTTTTAAGAATGGGGTTTCTCCCACTCTTTCTGCGATTACCCACTTCTAGTCAGGTCGAGGATCTCTTTTGAATATCCTCTCCCAGGATACATCATGGTCAAAAATGAAAAAATGCTGGAGTCAGAGGTAGAAGGAAAGTGAATTGGACAAGTTGTGTTCAGGTGCTTGGGACAGAAGTGGCAGGAGAGCTCTTGTTTGACCTGAGAATGGTTCTTTATCTTGTTGATTCATCTATCTACCTCACCATAGCTGACCCTTCCCCTCTCCTTTTTCCCATCTGGTTCATTCACAGTCCTATTGAAACTGTTTCTGTGATGCCCAGTATGAGCCAAGACCTACTCCCAGCTACCTTATTCAGCAGTTCCTGGTCCTCTTCCTTGCTCTTTATTTTACTTATGGTTTAATCTCTCTGTGCCATCTTCTGCTTGGGAAATGCAAACACTTCCTGATGAGCTGAGTGGGCAGCAAGGGAATGTCATAACAAATTGCACAATTAAGAAGTTTTTCTTCACTAAAGTGCATCTTGTACAGAGGTTGAGGGTGATGTGGCTAATGAATGGGAGTCCTGAATAGTGGATATGGATTATTATTGGAAGAGAAAGCTTAGACTCAGAGGGCATATCTGACAAGCGTGCACATGCAGGGAAGCATGTCCCATGGACAAATAGCAGTGGCATGTATTTGTGTGGCTGCTATTTGACCCAAACATGCCCCTGTATGCACACTCAAGCATGCAGCAAAGTGACCTGGGTGGGTTAGGGGAGACTGGGACCATCAACTGTGCTGTCCCCAGCAGCCGTGCCTGGGGGCCTTCTGGGACAGCAGTGGTGTTGAGCCAGCAGCTTGGAGCCTGGCCAGCAGCCAGAACTGGGCTCTGGTTGGCCAGGCTCCCTTTCTGGCAGTGCACACTGCTACGTCATGTGCTGTGCTGCTGCTTATTTTTTTTTTGACACCAGGATCTCCCCATGTCAGAAAAAATCACTGAGCTGCTAATTTTCAGTGTGGCAAATGGGTGCATGTGGGCCGTGTGCAGTTCGTGGTACCTCAAACTGCTTTGAGGTGCCACAAACGGCATATGCACTGCACATGTGTCAGGATGCACCCAGAATGTGTTTGGGGATGTTTGTATTTCAGTATTTTCCTGTAAAATGTTGCTCACTGAACGAGTCTCAGGAGATGCATATGGTTTTGGTCAAGGTCCCAGAACACAATAGTCATTCAGCATTTCGGTACAGTGCAAACATCGTTCAGATCAGGTCACTCTGGAATAAGTCTGGCAGGGATATATACACAGGTCCTGTTGAACTTGCTTCAGCTTACACCAGGCCTGTATTTAGCTCTCACTCTAAAACCTTCAGATACTGCAACATTAAATAGTCAGGACTTCATTTTATTCTGCTGATGGTGCATTGTTTGGAGGGAAAGATTTATATTTTGACTTATTCTTCCCTCCTTCACAAGGAACTGTGTTTATCTGTCTCCTCTTAGGGCGAACCAGGAAAGAAAGGTGACGAAGGAGACAAAGGAGCTGATGTAAGAGAACATTTCATTTAATATTTTATTGCTGAAAAGCCCACTCCCTTGGGAGCTAGGTTTTATCCTTGTTCTGTATTCTAGGGGAGAGACTACTCCAAAATTACAAAGGTAGACAATCAAACTGGGAAGCAAATACCTGAGCACTGGGATGTTCAAACTCTAGGCAAATCTTTTCCTGGCTTGATCTAGGTACCTTAACAGCATTTGATACTCATGGCTACTTGTTTTAATAAAATGCTGCCTTGTGAGACAGGGAAGCATTAACCCCATTTAAAGGTGGCAAGCTGAGGCACGAGATGATTAAGTAGCATACCCCAGGTCACACAGGAAGGCAGCAGATGAGCTGGAAATCTTGAGTCGAAGCCTGAACCCCTTCAGCCTAAAAAGCCTGCACGCTGTATCTACGCAACCCCTTCTTTGATGCATTATGTGCCCTTACCAGTGTTGGCTCTGGATTTAGACCGATGCCTTGTTCTGGGGGGGGGGGG